AAAAAAGTAATACATGACCCTAAATAATGTTTGATGCCCAAATCTGGTAGCTTGGTGATGTCACTTTTGAAGGAGTGCTTCGAAGTCTAGTTGAAGATTGGTTGCCTGGCATCTGAAGATTCAATGGTGGGTCATGTTAAATAATTTCATGAATCGCCAAAATACCAAAAATTAACATAAATTACCTAAATCAGCCAGTTTACCTTCTCTTATGACAGGTAAACCTCTAGTTAGAATATGTGATAGATGCAATTGCCCTTAAAGCAGGACATCACTCTCTCAATCAACACTGAGTATTTTTAATCCTTTTGGTGATAGCATTAGTAAATAGATAGTTTTACATTTCTTCATACATCCCAGGAATCCTCAGGGGGGGAGGAGGGCTTTCTTCGATAAGCACTCCCACTCCTGCTTGCATGCATGAGCTAAGGGCAGATGGATTCCCAGGAGGTAAATGCTACATGAATCATCTTCCCTTCTTCACGATGGTCATGGCCACAAATGCTAGTGGGTGTTTTTCAAAGTGATTTCTCAACTAAATAAAGCATGGAAACATGGATAGATGGGTGAGTTTGCTTTGAACATTAAAAAATGAATTAAATAGCATTTTTGGTTTGTGGTGCTCAGATGCAGTGTAGTTCTACTTTAGAGGTAGCAATAGATATCACATATTAATCATCTAATTCTGGAGATTTTGCTGTTGTTTTTTGACAGACACATTTTTATGAGGAGCTGAACTGATCACAGGTGTCTCACATCTAGGTATTTATTATCGCAGGCAGAATCGCCACGATTCTGCCCGTGGTCCCAAAACGCTCTGCAAAAGTGACAAATCGCACCATGCTTGTTCAGGTGCCATTCATTTTCAATGGCACCTAAAATGTGGTGTGATTCTGCTGTACGTGATAAAATGCACTGCAATCGACCAAACCGAATCGCGTGAAGCTTGTTGCCCTACAAGAAGCTTCATGAGATGGCACAGGAGAGCATGGTGTAGTTCCCTGAACTGGAAACTAGGTGAACACCATAGGTAAGGTCAGGAACCTGGTAAAGAGAGTAGGCAGTGTAGTTGCGTATGTAGCTGCTGGAAGACCCCAGAATAGTAAGCGAGTGTACCATAGATAGTGAGGTAGTGCCAGCCCTGCCCCTGGAGTATCTTGGCTATGGGGGCACTGTATACATAGTTTAGTCATGCGAAGCAAAGCATTGCGAGAACCAAGGCTTGGCAAAGATATAATATTTGAGGCTCTGGCTTCTGGGGGGCTTCCCCTTGAGAAAAAAGCAAGAAAGGAGAAGTGCTGACCTTATGGGATGACTTGCACTCCATTTGCATGGGATGCAGGACTCCCTAAAAGGTATAGACTTCTCAACTTGACTCTATTTATTATTACTTTTTCATCAATTGCAACTCAAGAGATGTACTTTCACCATTGTGATGACTGAAAGGATGTAAATATGTAAATCAACTGGTTCAACAGCTAATGGGCTTTCTATTGTTTGGACTCTTCTCTCTTCTAACTTCTAAACAGGGACATTCTCTAGAAACGAACAGTTGCTGGGTAAAGCTGCTATTGGGGTCCATTGCTGTAAGGCCTCAGGAGAGTATGGAAGGGACTGCTGGTGGTGCTGATTAGGTCAGGTGGGGGGCCTCCTGTTCCCATACTGTCCCACTGGGTCTAAGGGAACCCACCTACAGTATGTTGGTTAGGAATGAATTCAAGAGTGCAAGTGCTCCGTACGACATGGGGGTAGCTTTACTAAAACCGGAGCACTCCAAAATATGGGATAAATGGCTAGATTCTACTTCAACCTGTGATGAAGATGACAATGAAGACTCATAATGATGTTACCCTTTTCATATATTTACTTATTGCTCCCACCTGCCTTGAATAATTTTTACGGTGTACATGGTCCTGAACTGGGTCTGCTGTCCGTCTTTTTCGTGGCCAGACCTTCGACTCTCACTGTCATCTCAGATTGCATATGATGTACCTCCTATTTTCTATTGTGCCAGCTGCCTTTGCAATACACATTCACTTTGTACTCTTTACTTCAATTGATCATGAAGCATGTGCTTATGTTCAGTGTTATTCATGGAATTCATCATTATGCTGTTCCAGATTTTGTATGATGCATCATGCTGCGTTATGTGTTCTTCTCTGAATAAGGAGTTTGCTTGTTAAAAAACAAAACAAAATGGGTGCACTCAGAATCTGGTGCAGTTGTACATGGTAGCCAATCAGCTTTGTTAAATTATTTTAAAGCTGATTGGTTTCTATGCAGAGTTGCGCCAAATTTTGCACTCTTTAGTGTTAGTAAATAACCCCCATGGAGTGCATGCAGTCCATCACACAACTAGGCTGCTACACAACACCATTATCTGATCTCATTTACCATGGGACCTCATATACAGTACCTAAAACTAACCATCAGATTCAGTCAGTCATTTTCCAGCTGAAGCTTAACCCCTTCACGTCGGCGCCTCCAGATCCTTTAAGGGTTTCAGAAGCTGGGAGGTGGGGCGGGATTTAGGGTCATGTGACCGCCGTGACACGCCGTCACATGATCAGGAAAGGTCCCGATTGAAAGAGGAGATCGGGACCTTTCCATGAGTACTGGACATGTGTGCTGGGAGCGTGCAGGGCGCGCGCTCTCAGCACATATGTTCTTTTTTAATAGAACGCAAATGTGCGGCTGCTTGGCGTCTAGGCCCAGACGCCGGGAGGCCGCACATTTGCGGCGGTCGGCCGGCGTGAAGAGGTTAAAGCTATGTTCACACTAGCTTTGTTAACAGGCGTTAGACAGGTGTTTGGGAAGTGTTTTTAACGCTCCTCAAACGCCTATGAAAATTCTACACATGGCAGCACACAGTGCTGTTCACACTGAAGCGTTAGCAAAATTGACGCCTCATGTCGAGTCAGGAGGAGTTGAAGCCTCCCATTAAAGTCTATGGTGACGCTCCTCAAATGCCTCGCAGGCGTTTGCAGGGTGTTTGCGAGGTGGTTGCGAAGCGTTTGCGGAGCGTTAATACCATTAAACTTCATTGTAGGTCTTTGTGGTGCGGTTTTAATGCTTGGCAATCAAAAATGCTCATAGAGCGTTTGGTGAGTGTTTGAGGAGCGTTAGAAACACTTTCCAAACGCCTATCCAACGCCTGTCAAACTCAAACGCTATAGGGGCATTTGGCAAGCGTTAGAAATTAGTCAAGTGTAAACGAGCCCTAAATCTGATTGGTGGCTGGGCACACAAATGACAGATCTTGGTAGAAAGAATGCAATCAACTCATACTGCATACATATATAGTCTAAAGCGTTGTCATGCTCCAGTGAGCAATATGGTGCTCTCTGCCCATGGGCCCCACCACTTCAGTTGCATACATAGCTATGTCTGTCTAAATGCCCCTAAGGAAAATTTGTTTTGTAGGTATTTCATCCCTATAAGGCCCTTCAAGCTATGGATTGTCACATATCCTTTGGGAAGGTCAGAGAACACAGTCACATAAAATACTGACTGACAAAAGAGCCACATTAGAGAAAGAACATGATGTACTGGAGGCAGTAGGGAGTTATTGTCACAATGCCTGCTATTCTTATCAGTGCTGCTCTGTGAAAGGAAGTGTGTGTTCCTTTGTTATACGTGTATTATGATAGGACGTTTGTCAGCTAAAAAGAGCAGAATATTTGAAAAGCAAAAAAAAAAAAAATGCAAGTGTTGTGTAATAAGAACTACTCTGGAAGTCATTCATACATTGTATGTAGTAGTACAGAGACTATTATTTGTCAGCTCTCTGTGATCAGTTTGTTGCTGACTCGCTTTCACATCTTAGGGCTGAAAGAGGTTTAACCAGGTCTCACAATAGCTACAAAGTTGACATTTCAGTAATTTAAAAGTATGTATTACATTATTAAACCCAAAACAAAACATGTAATTTATTGCAGCTTACCAGTCCTTAGATGTGGTGGCCGCATTAGTTTTCTTTTTTTAGGCTCTTTTTGTTTTCACCTGATGATCCTGCAGTAAGGCTAGTTTCACATTTATGCAGTTTGCGTTTGATCCGTTTCTGCAGTGCTTTTGCAGTGCGTTTTGCGTTTTTGCACATGCGTGTTTGCTGCATTTTTGATGCGTTCTGTGATTTTTTTTTTTTTACCAACATCTTGCTGGGCAGATTAAAACACATCAAAAATGCATTAAAAAAATGCATAAAAATACAACAAAAACAAACTACATGCTTTTGTGCAGCGTCTCAACTGGATTCTACAGAACCAAAACCCCAACATTTTGCATTTAAAAAAGTCCCTGACCCATTGCTAGTAGGTTAATTGCCTACTGTGTGTGAACAATGCATGTGAGATAGGGACTTAATGTAGAATTCCAAGCTAAACCTAACTAGTCCTAACTATGCTTCCTTCCACCTTCTAACTATGCAGACTAACCTGTGTATGAAAGATGCAGATGTAGCCAGGTGCCAGCTACAATAATATGAATGCAGTGGACATTACTTTCATTGCAGACTGTTCAGGTTCTCCCTTTAACCACTTGCCTACTGGGCATGTGGCTTACCAGGCCAATTTTCAGCTTTCAGCGAAGTTGCACTTTGACAATTATGCGGTCATGCAACATTGTACCCATATGAAATTTTTATAATTTTTTTCTCACAAATAGAGCTTTCTTTTGGTGGTAATTAATCGCTGCTGGGCGCTTTACTTTTTGCGCTATAAACCAAAAAAGTGCAAAAAAAAAAAAGTTTCTTTGTTTCTATTATAACATTTTTCAAACAGGTAATTTTTCTCCTTCACTGATGTGCGTTGATGAGGCAGCACTGATAGGCACTGATAGGTGGCACTGATGGGCACTTATAGGCAGCACTGATGGGCACTGAAAGGCAGCACTGAAGGGCACTGATAGGTGGCACTGATAGGCATCACTAATGAGGTGACACTGATAGGCGGCACTGATGATGGGTACTGATAGACAGCACTGATAGGTGGCACTGACTGGCATCACTGCTGGTCACTGACTGGTGGCACTGGTAGGCATTGACTGGCGCAACTGCTGGGCACTGACTGGTGGCACTGACTGGCAGCACTGCTGGGCTGCATTGATGGGCACTGGTGGGTGGCACTGGTGGGCACAGGTGGGTGGCACTGCTGGGCACAGGTAGGTGGCACTACTGGGCACAGGTAGGTGGCACTGCTGGGTGGCACTGGTGAGCACTGCTGGGCACAGGTTGGTGCACTGCTAGACATAGGTGGGCAGAACTGGTGGGTGGCACTGCTGGGCACCAATCATCAGGGCACTGATCATCAGTGCCCTGATGATCGGTGTCGATCCCTGCTCTGACAACTGACGGTTCTCGGCAGTACTTTCCTCACGCTCTGAGGAAAGTGCAGCTGAGAACCGGCAATTGCATTTCCCGGTGATCAGCGTGTCATTGGACACGGCTGATCACGTGGTAAAAGGCCGCTGTGATTGGCCTTTTACCACATCACCTGATCAGCTGTGTCCATAGGACACAGCGATCACGGAGACCGCCGCGTGCGCGCCCCCGGAGGCGTGCAGGAGAGCGCATTCTGGGAGGACATCATATGACGCCCTCCCAGAACTGGCCGGCCGCAGTGTAGCCATCATTCAGCTATCTGCGGTTGGCAAGTAGTTAATGCTTTACTCAGACTGCTTGTATCATATCCCTGACCCAGTGGGACTTGTAGTCTTGTGTTCAGCCATTTCTAGACTCTTGGGTTTTCCTTAGATAACATCTCTCAACAAGCTGCTAATCAAGAAGGGGTAATATGGGAAAGACTATTTAAAGAGCCATGTTCAGTGAGCCCTCTCTCTCTTCTCCCCAGGATCCATCAGCGTGCATCACAGCTACTATCCTGCTGCTGGGGCCCGTGGCCTACCTGGAGCCTGTGAGCTATCTCTGTCCTTGCAACGGTGAGCCTGCACTACTGTGCAGCATTAGGAGAGCCTCTGTGGGCACCAACCTGGACTGACGTGTTCACATCTGACTGACCTATTGCATCCATCCTTCCACTGGCTGGAGTGCAGGCTCTGCATTGCTTCCTATGTGTGTGCCGGCTACCGGTGAGCAGGCTAAAGCCCAGATCCCATTCTCTTCAGTAACACTTAGCACATGGACCCTGCATTCAGACATCATAATCCGGATCACAAAGGAACTTGCCACTTTTACTATACCCACTACATACTTGCTGACTGATTAAATCTTTTTCTGACACTGAGGATATTTCCTTCAACATCACTGAGCTCCGACATGCTGGCAAATACTTTGTTCAGGCCTGACACTTGGACTACCCTTATCCTCTCATCTGAAGGGTGTATGCTGGTCCAAATAGAGTTTAAACCCTTCATCATAGGATTAGGATTCCCTGCAGTCAAGCCCCTCTCTAGTTATAACACCCCCCCCCCCCTTCCACCAGTGAGTCCACAGGGTACATTCAATTATTTAGTATCCATCATTCTCTGCATATTTAAGTGTTATTGTTCATTACTGCTTGCTTTTGTTATCTTAAAGTACCTAATTACCTGGTGTTCTGTCCAGCCAGCCTTGGATGCTGTCCCAGGGTTTGGCTGACTGACACCTTCAAATCCATTGTTTGCCTTAGTCAATACAGAAGTCTGCTGCATTCAGCTTACATTGTGTCTGTGGTTCAGTGGAAGGGATATACACCATGTCAGAACCTAGAGTGCCAGAAGGGCTGGGAAGTTCCCAGGGTCAGGGCAGTACAAGAAGACAAGCAATTTCCAGCGGCCCTTACAGGGTTGCGCTACACAAATACGTAACTATTTTCAGCCCCCTTTGGTCTGGTCATGTGATTTGGCTGACTGCCCCCTGTGTCAGTCAATGGCAGCTGCAGGGGAGAGGAGGGAGAACTGACAACGAATGGGCCATAGAAGCCAATGGGTCACGTCACCACCAGGCATTCTCAGCCATTGTCAAGAACTCTCTCCTCTCCCCTGCAGCCGCCACTGGCTGACACAGGGGATCACATGAGTGAGATCACTGAAAAAAAGGTAAGTATATACAAGGTACATCTATATATACAGGGAGAAAGGAGCATTTTTAGGGCTCGTTAAGTTTAGTGTGGAATTCTACTTTAAAGCTGGCCATGAACTGACACTAATCAAAATTTAACCAGTCCCTGCTGGTCAAGCCAAATTTTGTTCAGTGTGTGGGTTTCCCCGCTTAACAGAATAAACTGTTTAATCAATTTCTGGCAAAGGAACATGTTGGAAAATTTCCATCTGGAGCCGCTGTCAGAATACAATGTCCAGGCAGGGGGATTCCCATATGTATGGGCAGCTTTAAGCGGGCCAGAAATGGATCATAATTTGGCCAGTTCAGCAGGGACCAGCTGAATTTTGATCCATCTTTGGTCATTCCCGCTCAACAGAAGTCAATCTAACAATCAACTGTCAAACAGGATTTTTATCCTCCGGCTGATCGAAAAAAAAAAAAGAGCTATCTATTGACAGCCTAATTAGACTGTAAGATCCTTGAGGGCAGGGACTGATGTGAATGTACAATATATAAATGCACTGCATATATTGTCAGCATTATGAATATATGGAACAAATAAAACAAACTTGTAGGAACTTCCAATGTAGAATCAATAGCTATGTCCTCAGTTAATTAATCTGTGTATATTTTCCCGTGGCTGTCATTTTTAGCACTCCCTGGGTTTCATTGCAGAAAATAATTGCTATTGCAAATAACAATCATTATGAATTAATGAACAGAGTTTATAATCTGTAATATCTGGCTCCACAATGTCATGAAGCATTGAGATAGGCTACAGAAGATCTTTTTTTAGTTAGAATTCCTTATTGCAAAAGGATTTTAACAATAATAAAAAAAAATGTTTCATAGGGCAATATTTATTCACACAGGCCACTTACTAGATTTAAAATTATTTACATTTTAACTGGACTGTAAAACAGCATGACATATAATGTTCCCCTAGAATGTTTTATATATATATATATATATATATATATATATATATATACTGTATATACAGTATTTACCATTGCCAGCCAAATGTTACACTGCTTCTACTTGACCACTAGGTGGTGTTTTCTTTTTCTGCAAAGTATTCCAGTTCTAAGTTTGTCACAAACTTGACACTTTACCAGAAGTGAATACCATTTAATTCCAAGAATCCCCAGAACACACCCAAATAACATACAGTCTACTTTCAGCACTTAAAATTGCGTTACTGCAGGACAACCGGAATCCACAAGTTATTGAAGTTCTTGCAAAGAATCCAGCAACATTATCAGGAAAATAATGTTACAGAATTTCAGCAAACTAAATTCAAGAGACCTAATACAAATAAATAAAAGATGAGGCAATTTGATGTGTTATGCCTGTTGAAAAAAAAAAATTTATTTAAAATTTCTTAAAAATCAGTCAGAATTTCATTTTGAAATCACAGCCTATAGAAATGGCTGGAAGTTGTTTGGTTGCTACACGCATCATGGATTTTTTTGTTAGCACACATTGTAATAAATAATCCCCTAGTGATTACTTTTGAGAAAGTTACTTTGGTAGTAATTGAACTTGCCTTCCCTTCTTCAGACTGAGCTGGGGTTTTGCGCAGTTCATACCTCCCAAATTTAAAGTGTTACTAAACCCAGTAAAATCAGTCTGTATATTCAGTAAAGCATGCTTGTTATGCTCACTGTGAAACCTAAGGGGTTAATCCTCTGCATTTTGTAAAGAGGCTCTTTGATCCTGTCTTCTCTGATCCTCCCCTTCTTCCAGTGTCCCCAATCCATCTGCTGATTGAACAGAGCTCTAGGAGTCATTCTGCACATGCTCAGTTTAGTTTTGTATTGCTAGAGTTTTTTTTCTTTGGGAAGGTGCATGTTATTAGCACAGGGCCAATCAGCACTGTCGAGACAGAGGGTCAGAGGTTATGCAGCCTCAAAAGACAGTCAGAGCAGAATGAAAATTCCTCTTCCTAACCAGTGCTCAGCTGGATAGAAGTCACAAGACTGCTATATACTGCTGATGCGAAAAAGGTATTTAGCAGTTTATATTTACTACAATAATTGCATTTCCATGTTCTGTGTACCGTGGGAGACCAGATATAGTGAATGCAGGGTCCTGGGTTTAGTAACACTTTAGGAAAGAGAGACACTTTAGGGAGACGATAAATGTAAAAGATCTAAAGCAGACACCTGACCAAAATAACAAGAGTAAAAAGAATAGCCCATTAAAAGATAAAATAAAACCAGATTTTCCTGCAATAATCACCTTCAATCCAGAGATTTCCACTGCAGAGTTTTGTTTTGCCACTAGATGTCCTCAGTCTGATGGCAAGCATCATTCAACCCACTTCATCTGTGCCCAGGTCATCCTGGACCAACCCTATCTTGTGACTGGACAGTGAACGAAGATTCCAGAAAAAATTTGGGAACTTACACTGTTTGCATTTAAAAAAATAAATGTTATAATGTATCAATGATTCCAGAACTTTAATTTAATTCATGTTTTCTGTATCTACATAGAGTTTAGCTTTACATGATTTCCATGGAAAAAACGTATTTCTACTCTTAAAGCATATGTAAATTCTAATTTTTTTATGATTTGATCCTTTATAGTTTGGTAAATATAATATTTAAAGCATTTTGTTCTAGCTATTAGACAAGTGCAATTTATTACTATTATTATAGTAGTATTTTTTTTTTTTTTATTCATCAAGTTTGAAATCTTGTGTGTTGATCATTTTCTGTACTATATTGATTTCAAAATTCGACCAACCAAGCCTTCAGTTTCTCTTTATGTTGCTAAAGAAAATAATTTTCGTGGCTGGGAATCTTCTTTTCTTTCCAGATCACAGCTCATGCTCATTTCTTTTTTGATTATATTTCTCACATGATTCTCCCATCATTGATTAGAAATGTGTTTGCTTTCAAAAAATGTCCAACATACCCGATCACTCATGTAGCATTACCCTTTTCAACATGATGCCTCAAATCAAGGGGCAGAACAACTGACTGAGCAGCCTAGAAAATGAAGAGCATCTTCCTATCACCATTGCTGTGGGAGATCACTTAACCGTGGATCCAGGAACATTAGTCTGGGTTTTAAAGGCCCTAAAAAACAAAAACAACTCAGAATTGGTAGGTGGGGTGGGAACCATGTGTTTTTCTTTCTTTTTTTTAAATTTTTTTTACCCAGGATTGAACTTAAAGTGGTTGTAAACCCTTACATATACCTAGTGACTGGCCTCAGGTGATACACAGAGATGAAACAAATCCTCCATAAGTTGTACCTCTCTACCTGTGGGTTTTCTCTACTCTACATCCTTTCATAGTACTGAATTTAAAAAGTTTGTCTGAACATTCAGACAAAAAGGGGGCGGAGAGCTGAAGTTGCATTCTGCAGAGCTCAGTGAGGAGTGCTCTGAGAGCTGATTGGAGCAAAGTGACACCCCCCTCCCCTGCATACAGGAACAGATCTGCTGGAGGTCCCTCCCCATCCCCCATCACCATTTTACTCTTGGTGTCAGGAAAACTTGTCAGAAGTGACAGATAACAGATATCAAAGGAAGGAAGCCACAGAGAGAAATGACACTTCGTGGTCTTAACATAAATACATACACACTATAGAGGGATATGCTTTGTTCTTATTTCATGCCAGAGGCTTACAACCACTTTAAGGCCTCATGTACACACTGGATGTTTAGCCCCTGTGCATGAGATCCCAGTGTTTTAATGAGGGTGGAAGGCACAGGCGCACCATCCAGCCCCACTACTGCAACCTGTGAAATTCTAAGAGAAGCGGAAAGCTAGTGCTGTTCGATGGTGCACTGAATGGTACTAAGGTTTAGGACAGTATGCACCTAGGGATGATCTGTCTAGAATCCAAACTTCTTACGTTCTTCCTTGCAACATGAGTGCCATAGAGTGCAATGTTAAAATCAGAAGGGACACAATTTTTGGGTTGCAGCAGTTTGAACTGAGCCTTAGCCCAGGTTCACACTGATGTGGTGCTGAATTTGCATTGGTTTCTGTGCGATTTCTGTACCACATCATGATTGCACCCCGTTCATGCGAACCGCTGTGGGTTTGTATGTTAAGTTAACAACACCCCAAAACGCGGATCCATGTGCAGAATCAGATTGCATGGGTGTGAATACTCATGTGATCAGATTCTGATGAGGGCGATTTTGGTGTGGATGCGGTGCGATCTGAGCCACACAAAATGTATAGTTCAAACTGCACCACACAGAAGTCACATGTGATTTGCACAGGGATGCAGTGCAGTTCCTGCGCGAATCACATGTGATGTGCCGCACATGTGATTGTGTATGTGGTGAGATTTTGCTGCAGGTTTACTTAACCGTTTCCCGTCTGCCGTATAGCAGAAATACTGCTACAGAGTGGCACGGGGGTGCGCAAAATCATGTGTATATATACATGATTTTGCATTTCCAGGTAGGGGGCACGCGCAGCCATGGCTGTCAATCACCGGGTGATTACTGACGATCTCCGACGGGGAGGAGAACTGTTTTGTTTACTAACAGTTCTCCTCCCTGTCAGATCGGGCAGACAGCTTTGAATGGCAGTGCACAGCACAGCCATCCAGAGCAGTGTGATTACAGTGAAGCACACTGACACAGCCCCCTAGTAAAACACTCCCAGCACACAGCTAACCCTTTGATTGCCCCTCATGTTAACCCCTTCCTGCCCAGTTCCATTAGTACAGTGTCAGTGCTTTTTTTTTTTTTAGCACTGATCACTGTATTTGGTGTCACTGGGGATGTCAGTGACACCAAGTCAGTTCCCTCCAGTGTCAGAATGCCCACCACAGTCCTGCTATAAGTTGCTGATCGCCGCCATTACTAGTAAAAAAAAATTCCAGTATCTATACCACCATTTGTAAACGCTAAAATTTTCATGTAACCCATTTAATTTACACATATTGGGATTTTCTTTTAGCAAAGACATGTAGCAGAATACATTTTGGCCTAAATTTATGACAAAATTAGATTTTTTGGACATGTTTAACTACTTGCCAACCGCAGATAGCTGAATGACGGCTGCACTGCGGCCAGCCAGTTCTGGGAGGGCGTCATATGACGTCCTCCCAGAACGTGCTCTCCTGAGCGCCCCCGGGGGCATGCACCCGGCGTTTTCCATGATCACTGTATCCTACAGACACAGCTGATCACGTGATGTGGTAAAAGGCCAATCACAGCGGTCTTTTACCACATGATCAGCCGTGTCCAATGACACGCTGATCACCGGGAAATGCAATTGACAGTTCTCGGCTGCACTTTCCTCACGCTGTCAGAGCGCGAGGAAAGTACTGCCGAGAACCGGCAGTTGTCAGAGCGGGGATCGGCACCGATCATCGGGGCACTGATGATCAGTGCCCTGATGATCGGTGCCCAGCAGTGCCACCCACCAGTTCTGCCCACCTGTGCCCAGCAGTGCACCCACCTGTGCCCAGCAGTGCCACCCAGCAGTGCCACCTACCTGTGCCCAGCAGTGCCATCTACCTGTGCCCAGCAGTGCCACCCACCTGTGCCCACCAGTGCCACCCACCAGTGCCCATCATTGCGGTGCTGCCAGTCAGTGCACCAGTCAGTGCCCAGTGGTTGTGCCAGTCAGTACCCAGCAGTTGCGCCAGTCAAAGCCTAGCAGTGCCGCCAGTCAGTGCCCAGCAGTGATGCCAGTCAGTGCCACCTATCAGTGCTGTCTATCAGTACCCATCATCAGTGCCACCTATCAGTGCTGCCTATCCGTGACACCTCATTAGTGCTGCCTATCAGTGCCGCCTATCCGTGCCACCTCATTAGTGCTGCCTATCAGTGCCGACTATCAGTGCCCATCAGTGCTACCTATCAGTCCCCATCAGTGTGCTGCCTATCAGTGCCGCCTATCAGTGCCCATCAGTACTGCCGCATCAACTGACATCAGTGAAGGAGAAAAATTACCTGTTTGAAAAATGTTATAATAGAAACAAAGAAACATTTTTTTTTTACATTTTTTGCAATTTTTGTTTATAGCGCAAAAAGTAAAGCGCCCAGTGGTGATTAAATACCACCAAAAGAAAGCTCTATTTGTGAGAAAAGAATGCTAAAAATTTCATATGGGTACAATCTTGCATGACCGCGCAATTGTCATTCAAAGTGCGACAGCGCTGAAAGCTGCAAATTAGCCTGGTAAAGAAGGGAGTTTAGGTGCCCAGTAGGCAAGTGGTTAAAAAGTCAAAAATATTGTTTTTTTTCTCAAAATTGTCCGTCTTTTTTTTTTTACAGCACAAAAAAAATAAAAAACACACAGGCTATCAAATACCACCAAAAAAAAGCTCAATTCATGGGAAAAAATAGGATGTACATTTCATTTGGGTGCAGCGTTGCATGGTTGTGCAATTGTCAGTTAAAGTAACGCAGCTCTAACGCAAAAAATGGCCTGGACAGGAAGGGGGGTAAATCCTCAGGAGTACAAGTGGTTAAAGTAGTACTCACTCAAACAATGTTTACATAAGATATACAGTACATGCACATAATATCAGAAGTGGCAATGTGGGCAGCACAGTGGCTAAATGGTTAGCATTTCTGCCTGGTACTGCTAGGGTCACTGGTTCAAATCCCAACCACGACACCACCTGCCTGGAGTTTGCATGTTCTCTCTGTGCTTGTGTGGGTTTCCTCTGGGTACTCCGGCTTCCTCTCACACTCCAAAGACAGGCTGGTAGATTAATTGGATCCTGTCTAAATTGGCCCTAGTATATGAATGTAAATTAGGGACCTTAGATTGTATGCCCCTTGAGGGTTAGGGACTGATGTGAATGTACAATATATATGTAAAGTACTGCATAAATTGATGGCTCTCTATAAGTACCTGAAAGAAATAATCTGTGCTGCTATAGTATTTATTTAAGGTACTTACATAGCGCTGTCAATTTACACAGCACTTTACATATGTATTGAACATTCACATCAGTCCCTAACCCTCAAGGGGTGTACAACCTAAGGTCCCTAACTTACATTCATACATACACATATTAGGGCCAATTTAGACAGGATCCAATTAACCTACCAGCATGTCTTTGGAGTGTGGGAGGAAACCAGAGTACCCAGAGGAAACCCACGCAAGCACAGGGAGAACATGCAAACTCCATGCAGGAGGCACCATGGTCAGGAATCGAACCCATGATCCATTTACTGCAATGCAGATGTGCTAACCACTAAGCCACTGTGCCGCCCAAATGCATGTAGTATCACATACATGACAGTATGAGTGCCAAGGAAAATAAATCCACTATATAACAAATGTTATATAGTTTATTTTCCTTGGCGCTCCTCATACTGCCAGTAGTGTTTGGTTCATGTGGTTCATTTGGAATTGTCCATGACACCGCCTTCGTGCACCAAATCCGAACCTTCACCTATCACGTCAGGTTTTCTATACGAGTTTTATTGCATACAGTATGTGACCTCTCTAGGGAATGCACTCTTCATTTTGTGATTGTTTATTGATTATTCAGTACAGTACTGCTAATCCCTAGAAGCACAGTATATTGTAAGTGTCACACGTGTACACCAAATACATATCATAATACCGTATGTCAACAGGGCCTAATGTCAGACATGAGTGATTCTTGGTGTCACATTCCAGTTCAGTAAGCACTGTATACAGGTAGAAGTCTTCAGGTGGAACACACCTCTCGTTGACATTTAAAAACACATTTGTTTTGGACTGAATAGCAGCAGCTTTTCCTGATGAACTCCCTAACAGTTGTGTTATATAATATGATGATTACTGCCCCTAGAGCAGAAGGTTCATAGCCGTATATTGATAAACAAAACCAGCTTTAAAATACAAGTACAGGTTCCCAGTTCTTTCAGTAGGCTGATAATGTGCTGCCAAAACACAAAGCTATGCCAATGTGAAAGAATGTGCGTTTTGAACTGTTAAGCCTGTACATGGCCAGCGCAATGTGCTTGGGGTTGTGAAAACAGTCATTAGGATTGGGTAGAATGCTGGGAAGTGGCCTTTGTTCATTATAGACCCTGCCCGCTAAACAGTTTTGTAGCTGCGTTTTCTAGTTCAACTATTTTTATTCAATAGTGACATTTAGTCCTCATGCACACTTGACGTTTTTACAGCGGCTGTTTTTGGCTTTTGACATTTTTTTCTACAGCTAATAAACTCCCCAGCATGTTATTCTATGTCTCCATAAACACATAGACAGTAATCAGCGTTTTTGGCTGGAAAAAAACCCCAGGACTAGTGGGTTTCTAGAGGAGCTTTTTAGCTGTAAAAACGCTGTAAAACGCCACAAACCGGCGTTTTTGGATGGTTTTTTTACCAAAAAAAAATTTTTTTTGCAGTAAAAAAAAAATGCTTAAAACGCGGGAATAATGCAACAATGCTAAAAAAAATGCTGAAAAACTCAAATTTTTTAATGTGACTTTGCACAGCTAACGTTGCCAGCGTTATCAAAACGTCCCATGTGCATGAGGGCTAAAGCAGAAGTACAGCCAAATTTTGGCTGTACTTCTATGAATCACAGGAGTGCAGTTCCTTCTGTGACCCGTTTTCAGCTGACAGCGGGCTGAAGTCCGCTATCCACTGACATCACTTAGCTGGTCCAGGCTGGGGAAAGATCTCAAAGTTGGGATCCACCCCAGAGTCTGGAGTGGCACCTGGCGATCCCCTGAGAGCCTGAGCCAGCTGCTCCCTCCCCCTCCACAGTCCAGTGCTCCAGTGAGCGTGCTGGGGGCAGGACAGAGAGCGGTGACTGACAGTTACCGCACTCTGCCCAGAACAGCTGTGAGAATTCTTACCCTTACCCTCCATTCACATCAAGCCCGACTTTGAAATCGTTCAACTTACAGTGAAGTCACACGATTTCAAAGTCGGGGGACCCGCCGATGTCAGGTATGATTTGCAAGACATCTGATACAGATGTCTATGCAAATCGCACCAAAAGTAGTGCTTGTACTACTTTTGAAATCGGGGTGGCTCCATCCAAGTTGGAACCGCACCGATATGATCGCTCCAATTGTGTGACTTGGCATGCAATTTGCAAGTTGCAGGGCATGCAAATTGCATGCCAAGTCGCATCCATTGTGAAGCAGAGCTTAGAGGTGGCAGGGGACAGATGCAGCATGGGACGGATTCTGCATTCACCTAGGTAAGTATAAAAAGGGTAAAAAAAAGTCCACACTTCTCTTGTAAGGCACAACAGTACAAAGAGCAGGGGCCACAACTGGCGTCATCAAGTGGAACAAACTTACATGAAAGAATAAAGAAGGGGAACTGACTGTCAGTGACATCCCCAGTGACACTAATACAGTGATCAGTGCGAATGGCACTGGGCAGGAAAGGGTTAACATCTGGGGCGCTCAAAGGGTTAACTGTGTGCTGTGTCTGTGTGCTTTCACTGTGTCAGCACGCTTTCACTGTGTCAGCACATTGCTTTGTATTGCTCTTCTATGCAGAGCAATACAAAGCAATGTGCTGGAACTGACAGGGAAGAGATCTATATGGTTTACATACAGATCTCTCCCCCATTAGTGATACTCGGCGATCGCCAGGTGCTGAGGCTGCCAATGGCGGTGCAGGTTAGGGCACGCGTGCGCCCTCTACCCAGAACTGCTAAATCACATATATATGTGCAGTATTTCTGCTATAGGGCAAAGCGGTTAAACACAAAATATAACGTGTAAACATTTTGGGAAAGACCCATGGTTGTAGGGTTGCCACCTCATCCCTTTAAAACTGAACACATATTAATTACATGGGTTCTGTGCCTGATTAAGGTGGTAATTAGACTCAGTGCCTTATCTGAATTAAATTAGCCTCAGAACCTGTGTCATTAATATTTGTACGAGTTTAAAGGGATGAGATGGCAACCTTACGTGGTTGTCAAATGCAGTCCGGATATTAAAACCAGCAAACCATGTTGTAACAAATCCTGGGCATGGATAGATCTATGAGGGGCACAGACCCCACATAAGAAGAGAAACAGAAAATTGAGGCAAGCAAGGGGAGGGGGAAGGGATAAGGGATCCGGACTCGTTGGACACCAGTCAGAGATGACCCATGCATGTCAAAGGAAGGTCAGGGAAGGCATAGGTCAACCACGGTTCCCAAATTTTCAAATATTTGGCGTGGGAGTCATTAACAATAGTAGACATGAGTTCATAAAGCATCAGAACCATCAAACTGTTTTTTACTCCCTGGAAAGGGTTATAGGTTTCTTCCATGCCTGGGAAATCCTCTTCTTTGTTGCTATGAACAGATAGGATGCCAATTTTTGCTGACGAGCGAATAAGCCCAGAAAGGGACAATGCAACAAAACTAATTTTAGCCTCCTTTTGGATGGGCAGATGAAACAGGGAATACAGTAGACCAAACACGCTAGACCAAAAGCCTACCAATCGTGGTCAAGTCCACCAGGTATGTAAATCATCCCCACAAGGGCCACACTCAAGGAAACTATCGACTATTCAGAGATGTATAGAGAGAGGAATGTAGCTGCATTTTTGAACACTATC